CACTTCTCCTTTAGCTCATCCCGTTCGTTAGAAAGGTCACCAAAATCCAGCATGTCGTCCTAGCCAACAGCTACCATCAAAACCAGGATCCGCCCCTAATTAAGGTGCATGAATCATCTACAAAAGACTCATCTACTAATAGACTCCATACAAAATCCAGGTCCTCAGTGGCCACAACGACAACAAATTCCTTAGGGATGTTGGGTACCCGAAATGGAAGAATATCATAAATCCAAAAGAAATGGGTTAGAGCCTCCAATTTAAAACCCTCTATCAAATACGCCCGCTTGGTAGAACTTCCTTCAATATATCCTCTTGGCAGGAGAAATAGGGGGTGAAGTATACCGAATAGAGAAGCTGACTAGCGTAGCGGTCAACTATTCCACATCAAGACCATTCCCAAAATAGTAGTCGTTGGGTCATCAACCATACCTAGAGCCTGGACCATCAAAGCAAGAACAACCGCAATATTAAGAGTCTCCATATCTCGGCCAGATAAGATGGCCATTAGATGTTGATAATTTACGAGCACTAGAAACTTCTACAACTAATCCATGTTATTTACAAGGCAGAATTTATACTTTTCAAATAAAAGTAGGCACCCCAGGCCCCCATCCTCACCAAATATCTCCTGCCACTCGACATAACCATAGATGGTTCATCACGACCACCTCAAAATTAGAAAAGGGAAAATATATACCCAACCTAGTGAAGAGGAATTCATATAGAGGAACCGAGTAACCTTCAAAAGAGCTGCATATCATCTTCGTTAGGCCCACTGGGATAATTGACCTATCTGAGGGGTTGGAAACTACAATGGCATAATTTTCTATAACATCAACAATGTTCAGCGTGAAATGAGTCTTACCTCTTTGGTATCCACCAAGTGGTATCTATTGACATTATCCAACTTAACTAACTAAAGTCCCATTCGGGCTAGTTCATCAGGTTTAAAGTGATAGTTGGGAATAATCCAAGACATAATGTTAGAATGTCTCTAGTAATTTAAATGGAGTGCAACTTCAACATCACCGGGCTCACGACTACCACATTCCCTCCTTTAACGGGCAACTTCTATTTCAACCTCGACCAAGATAGAATGAGGTAGCCGCTTCTCAACATAACTCTCATCCCCATCGACTTTATTTGAGAATAACTTCTCTGAAGGATCTTTGGAAGGAACTTCTTCTGAAAGGGACTCTCCATACACTCTTTCCATTTCTGAGTCAACAACTAGTAAAATGATCTTCAGTTTAAAATCCCCACTGGCAGAAGAAATATAATGTGATTCAAGATTCATTCCTCCTTTCAAAGAAGAAGTAATGCTATCACTCTCCATGATAATAGGATTATTGCTCATCTTAAATAAAGAAACAACAAATGCTTGAATGAAAACCTGAAGTGAACAAAAGGCACCTTGAAATGTAATGTCGGAGGCAGTAAACCAAAAAGATGTTCGAAAGTCAAAGCTTTGAAGTTTTGAGGCTTTGAATGCGTGACAATGATTACTCCTAGAAAAACGCTCTCAAAGAATACCAAAATACTCAAAATAAATAAGGGACATTTTATCTCAAAGGTTGCCAAAATTCCCTCAAATTTTCTCTACCCTTGTATAGTCGAAGACAATCTAGCGAACTAGATTAAAAGTAAGAAGCAAGTATAAATCAACAATTAGATTTCATCTTAGGAACAAAACTAGATTCAAGCGCACTCGAGTGCACATTAAGCAGCATCATGTTACTCTCCACCATTTTTGGTCACATGTCAAAGAAAAAAATGGTGAAATGCTTCCATGATGAGACTGTATTTAATGCACATGTTCCCCATAATAATGCATGCCCGCTAACGCACGAACAACGATTCCCAAGGGCCGACCATGAATACTAAAAGACTCCCCCGACACCCATAGTGCCCAACGAGCCTTGGGGGAAACTATTCAGTTACAACTAAAGGCCCAATAAGATAAGACCCCTTACTTTGTCTGCTCCATTAAGCCCAAGGTATAAATGCCTTAACAAAGGGTTTTCAGGTACACAATCTCTAATCTTTACTTTCACTATAATTATGTTCAACCCTAACAAACTTGGGCGTTGAAGTTGTAACCATGTAGGTGCCCTCCAGATCCACCATACCAAAGATTAGCAATGTCAGTTCAAGATTAACCTCTCAATTCAATAATCATTAAGATCACAACCTTCGATCTAAGGTTCCACATGACTGAATGACTTAGGAAGATTCACTCCGCCATAGTTTCCGAAATCTCATCCATTTCTGGTTCCACGACAGAAAAAAAAGGAATGGCATAATTGCCATATTTACTGCATATCCTTTCATCCTCAGTTTGAGTCAAGGGTCCCTCAAACTGATGACGGGCCAACTTCAAGAAAGGTTCCATCAAGACTACCATTTTTGGCGAAAATAGAAATGGGAGAAGAGTAGAAAAAATTCACCCAAGAATATGAAGCATTCTTCAGGGTTTCATGAGCATTCTTCTGTGATTTTTTACCCATAATGCACTAGCATTTCAAATGTAGGAAAGAAAATGTTGAAATGGGAAGATAGCCACTAAAACTAGGAAAATGACTCAAAGAAAAACAATGTGGAATTTTCAAGTACTATGCTCTAACATACAAAAGGAAAAATACTCTATCTAACGTGTCAAATCACTCACACGCGACACTCAAGTGTTTCAGTTCCCAAGAATCGTAATGATGACACTTCCAAAAAGACATTTGTAGTTTGGAGGCTTAAATGCACGAATCCTCAAAAGACTGAAATGTTTCTCTTTAGCTCTTTCAAAGACGAGCAAGAGATTGGTTAGCATCCGAGGTTAATGTGACAAACATTTGCCTTGCTACTCATAAGAAAGGGTTTGGGGAGAAACTTATGGGCCGACCATCGCAATAGAAGCCAATCATGATGGAGTAACCACAATCCTTCCACAATCTTCCTAGCACACGAGGGCTATTATCATAATGATTATAAAAGATCTCAATCTTATTCATATCCATCGACTCTCCGCAATGCACTCTTAACAAATAACGAGTTTGTTATTCATTCTCTAATATATATATATATATATATATATATATATATATATATATATATATATATATATATATATATATATTCACAAATTGGACAATTTCTCAATGGTTAAAATGGTACAAGAAATGGCTTAGTTAGACCAAAATTAACTAACCACATGAAAAAACTAAGCTAACAGAAAAGACCATCTCAAATTGACCTCCACAAAATCTTAAAATAATTGGAGAACCATGGACAACTTCTACCCACTAAGGAGAAATAACGGTTATAGTCCAACAACAAGATCAAAATCTTCCAAAGTAGAATATTTTAGAGAAAGAGGGAGAATAATTTTAACTTAGATTATAAACACTCGAAACTACTATTAGCTCAGATATATGATATGGTTCTCCTTCCAACCAAAGAAAGAGCAAAAGTAATTCAAAGACTTTCCTGGATACCAATTCTAGGCCACGATGATAAAAAAACTCTAAAACATATAAAAATAAAACATAATTTTTAATTTATTTTAATAATCTAATAATAATTTTTCTTTTGACTTGAAAATAATTTTACTAAGTTCCCCCTAGCATGATGAATAGAAACAACAAGATGTAAAGTTTGTTGTTCTAGGATGTAATACTAGTACAAATTACGTGCCAAATTTGTGATTGAATCATTTAAAGCATTAATTAACAAATGAAATCTTGTGACATGTTTAGTTATTGATTATAAGTCAAAACATTAGAACCCGTGCTAAGTACAAACAAATACTATCTTCACGGGGGGAGCAAACAATCCAACTGAAAAAACTGAACACATTCTTTCTAATTGGTTGAAATGGACGGCTAACTCTTCTCCCACATTTTCTATGCATCCTATCAAATAATATGCTTTTGAGATAAACAATGCAACCTCAAGATTGAAGAGCAAAATAAATAAAAGACATAAATGAGTTCACGGAATGGTATACTATACAATACTGCATATTGTGTATAGAAGACAATTAAGAGCTAGAATGATAGGTTAGTATATGGTGTTTCAATGTTCTTTTGTCACTATCTATGTTAGTTACTCCAAAGAATTCACATGGGAATGCACATGTGAGGTGGCCACATGTCACTTTCATTCTAACAATTCACAATCACATGAAGGATAGTTTTAAGATGATCAAATATTTACTATCATTCTTTTTATTTTTTTAGTGTTTAACTTAATTCTCTTGTTTTCTCTTGTTGCAACAATACTCGTTTAATTATGATTAGATGATCATTGTTCCCTAATTTTAGGAGTGAAGAACGGGCATCTACGTCTCATCCGCAAAAAAGTAGGATGACGTAGAGCGGAATGTAGACCTAAAACTTTGATTCATTCTGCAAAAAAGTGAAAGCGGGATGAAATAAACTTAAAATATATATGCTTGCTAGATCAGACCTGTTTTATCATTCCTATGTAAATCGAAACTCGAGAGAGTTAAGAGAAATATATACAATCATCTTTGATAGAAGATAAATCTTTTAGTGGTCACACGAAAATAATTTTTATAGTTTTGATATTTGATTTTAGAATTTAATAATTTGGTGAATCAATTCACCATCTTGTAGTGAGGTCTAATTAAAACTATATCAATTTTTAATTAAAACTAATGTAAAGTCCTATATAAATTGATTCAACACAAAAATTGTTAACCGGTCGATAAAATTCAAAATCAAAATTTTGAGAGAAAACCCCTCTTGGTAAAAGACAAGCTAGGTTAATGATGTAAATTATTAGGGAAGGACAAGCTAGTAACATGCAATTGTCTTTTGTGTGTAGACTTTATGTCTCTTTCTTGGGGAAGACAAATATTAGATTTTTACAATCTAAAATAAAATCTAACTTAGCTACAAACTACAATGGACATTTCAACTATAAAAAGACATAAATCTTATAACTTGAAGACCACACTTGTGATATCTTCTCTCTTTTGAGCAATGGCAAGAAAAATGTGCATTGTTATACTCTTCCTAGTTCAAATGCTACTTCTTCCTCAACAAAACCATGTAAGTCAAAACCATGCCTTATAATTATTTACCTCATTTTTTTCCTAAGCTTTAGTAGTTGTTGAAACTATTGTTTTTCACATTATGCTTTCAGGCAGAGATTGTTGTATCCACTGTTGAGGTTCCAGCTCCACAACCTAGCAAAAACAATAACACTACTCAATTTCCCAAAGTTAGTTCTTATTTTGGACTCATCTTGAGAATGTTCACATTTCTTTGCAAAAATAAAACAACTTTTTTAATGTTAATTTCTTGCTTGTTTCCATGAATTTCAGCAAGGTACAACTGAAGGAAGTCTTCAACCACAAGGTAACAAAAAATTAAGAGCCTATATCTCCTAGAATTTTGATGGTTGAATTAAGATTGGTACATGTTTGTTAATGTATTATAATGCATGAAATTTCAGATTGTGGACCACGTTGCAGTGATAGATGCTCAAACACACAATACAAGAAACCATGTTTGTTCTTCTGTCAAAAGTGTTGTGCTAAATGTTTGTGTGTGCCTCCTGGAACTTATGGAAATAAGCAGGTTTGTCCTTGCTACAACAATTGGAAGACCAAAAGTGGAGGACCCAAATGCCCTTAAAAGATGTAATATTATCAATCAAGTTTCTTAAAAAAATGTCTTACTAGTTACTACGACTCAATGTATGTACAAGCACTATAATATGTATCCATGTATCATATGATATTTGAAAAAAAACTAAATTTAATCATGTTTGTCTTTGTTTGCTTACAATTTTTAGCTCTTAATGTGTGATGTACCCTAACAAAATCACAATAGTCTTTAAATGATTCAATAATAAAAAATAAAAAAAATTTAAATGAATCAAAATTAAAAAAAAACATAATTTTTCTTATTAAAAGAAAAGGTTAATAAATGATCTAAAGTTTTTTTTTTTACAAAAAAATACCTAATTCATTTCATTAATAATACGATCTTGACTACATGACGGTACATCAATAAAATTGTGAAAACTAGGAAGAGATGGAACCATCTGTGTCAAAACATGAGCAACATCATTAACTCATCTCCTAACGAACTTATCATGAGAGTTCCTAAAGAAAAATGGTAATACGAGATTACATTCATGAGTAATAGCATCAATGTCAAAAACATTTGGTTGCTGATTATTCACACTATCCACTACACTTTTAGCATTCAACTCAAAATTCACAGTGCATCCATTTAGTAGATGACAATAAGCATAAAGCTTCCTCTATATGGACTTCATCAATAAACCACTCACCCATTTAGTAGATGACAATAAACATAAAGTTTCCTCTATATGGATTTCATCAATAAACAACTCAGTTCGAGTTACAATAAAAAATCCCAATCTTTTTGAATGCAAGTACATATTCCTACCTTATTATTAGAGAAAGATGTGTAGATGTTGCATTTGAGATGTCAAGCCAAAGGTTTGCTCTACCTAATATCTCCACACCTTTGAATTCGGATAGTATGGTTCGATCTAAGTTGTTGGGCATTCCTCCATCCTAACAACATGTAAGAAGCACGATCGTAAATAGTGTCCAGAGAGTCTTTTATGTGGTTCCAGATTTGATTGTTCTTACATTTCTAGATACTCCACAAAATGGATGAGAACACTACATGTTGATTTTGATTTAAGACCTGCAAAAAGGAAAACTTTATTGTAGCAAAAGAGACGTCATCATTCAATAATTGTTGCAACATAGACCACATATCAACTTTCTCCTAACACTCATTACTCTTTAGGCAATGTAAGAATAAATGCTTATTATTTTTAACTCCTTCACCACATACACCCAAATAAGTAAGACATGCAACACCTTTGTCTATTAACAACATTCATGTTGGCACACAATTCCTACATAAACACCACAAAAAACTTTAACCCTCAGAGGGGTCTTAATTTTCTAAATGAACTCCCACTTCTCACTAATCCAAATTGAGAGGTATTAATAGCATCTTTTATATAGTAACGATAAACATTACACACTAAAAACCTTTCATTCTTTTCAAAATTCTACACTAACTTATCCACTTGGACCACTTCAAATAATGGAGTATTGAGGATCTTTGTCGCATCTCCGCCCCCAACTAGAGTATAAATCGGGTTTGAGTTCCACTGTTCTCCATTATTACTCAATAGATTCGAAACTTTTAGATTATCCACTATCAGGTTAGTCAATCAAGGATTGTTCAACGAAGTATTCTCATGTAACAAATTATGACCCCAAGCCAGAATATTCTCTCTCGATACAATATTCCACTTATATCCATCTTGCACCGCAAATTTCGAACTCCAAATACCCCGTGACAAATAACTAGGGGTGTGCCCGATGTCTGAATTAAAGAAATCACACTTAAGAAAATACTTAATTTTGTAGAGATGAGTGACTAATTTATTTGGACCTCTCATGAAACTCCAAGATTGATTACTAAGCATACCATAATTGAAGGAACTTAGATTTTTGAACCCCATTCCTCAGTCATTTTTAGGCATAGATAAACAGTCATAAGATAGAAAATGTATACCATTAGCCTGATCTCGATTATGTCTCGACAAAAGAAATTCATCATTTTCTCAATATCATTACTTAAAGAGGATGGGGATAAAAAGATAGACATAATATAAGTCAAAATAGATTGGAGAACTGACTTAATAAGTGTTTCTCTCCGTACTTGAGATAGACTCCTACTACTCCATGAGTTAATATTTTTCCAAATTCTATCTTTTATAAATTTGAAAGTTGCTTTTATACTTCTACCAATCATAGATGGTAATACGAGATACTTGTATGTCCCCAAAACTTGTTGAACTCCTAACATATTAGCCATTGTATTCTCTACATTATGATGATATTTTCGACCACAAAAAATTCAGATTTTTGAAAATTGATGGCTTGACCCGAAGCTTCTTCATAAGTGGAAAGAATATTTTTTTAGCATATTTGATTCACTAATAGCCGCTCTAAAGAACAAAAAATAATGATCCACAAAAAGTAGATGAGATATGGCAGGAGCATTCTTATAAATTAGTATGTCGTGAATATCCCCTAGTTTCGGTTTGCTTACTGATTCCTGAAAGGCCTTCAAGACAAAGAATAAATAAATATGGGGACAAGGGATCACCCTGCCTCAACCCCCGACTAGGAAAAATGGCCTTACCACATTACATTCATAACCACTGAATAGTCCTCTGTTTCCACACAAAGCATGATCCAACTTATCCACTTCTAGATGAAACCCATAGTTGCAAGAACATCCTTGTGATAATCCCAATCGATTATGTCATAAGCTTTACTAATATCAAGCTTAAGAACTACATCATATTTTTTTTCCTTTTGTTTTAGCCTTCATATGATGAAACACCTCAATAGCTGCCATAACATTATCCTAAATAGACTCCTAGGGACAAAAGCCGATTGGTTATCTGAAATGCATTTGTCAAGAACTTTATTAAGAAGATTTTCTAGAACATAGCTATCACTTTGTATACGACATTACAAAGTGCAATTGGTCTCCAATATTTCATGGATGTTTGAACTTCTCCTTTTGTAATTAGCGTGACATTAGTCATATTAAGATTTGATGGAAAAACACCAGCCTCCAACCAAGAAGAACTTGCACTATAAATTATGGCCCACAAGTATCCCAAAGCTGATGATAAAAACAAGGATTGAAACCATTAGGACTGAGACTCTTGTTCGCTTGCATAGAAAAAATGGCTTCTTTAAACTCCTCAATAATAAGCGATGTTGTCAACATATTATTATCCTCATTTGAAATGGAGGTTCCTAAAGCATGCAAAACTAGGTCTCGAGAGCTTGGCTTCTTCTGAAATAAATTATAAAAGTAATCATAAGTAATCCTACACATCCCTTCAGTCGAAGTACTCACTTCCCCATTTTCATTTGTAAGGGAAAGAATAATGTTGAATTTTTTTCCTAGCAGTTGCTATAATATGGAAGAACTGAGTATTAAGATTGCTATTCTTGTACCACTGAGCTTTTGTTCTTGGTTTCCAAAAACATGTTTTACCAAGAGAGAGTTCATACTTCTTCCGAGAGCTGTTAATATTTCCTTCACCAACAAGCTATCAAACTCTTTCAATCTTCCTACAAAGTCTCTCAATTTCCCTTATAATCTTGTGACACTTATCTTTGCTCCAGTTCATTATGTACTCACTACATTTTTCAAGTCTACCCACAATATTACCATTATCATATTTATTCCATTTCTCAATAACTAAATCGTTAAACACTAGTTCAGTTAACCAAGCATTCTTAAATTTGAATCCGTTACGAGGCTTATGTTATCCTGAACTCACTTCACAATATAAAAGAATTGGATAATGATCTAAAGTAGTAAGCATTAGACATTTCACCTTTGTTTACGAGAACAAAAGATACCAATCATTGTTAAACATTGCTATATCTAATTTTTATTCAAATGCACTATTTGTTCCCAGGCTCTTAAGCCACGTAAAAGAATACCACTCCACAGGCACATCCACCGAGCCTGCATCTTGAACTTCTTGCCAGAAACCACTTATTAACCAATTTGGGCTTTCCAATCTCCCTTTTTTTTCTATTCATATGAAAGAATATCATTAAAATCTCCTAAAATACACCACTGTAAATTCACTCTCTCCGAGAGATTCCATATTAAATTCCATGAAATCCTCCTACGAGTTCCTTTAGGATGATCGTAAAAGCCTATAAGTCTCCAAATTTCATGTTTGATATTTTGAACTATAATATCAATATGATTATGAGAATAAATTTGAGTAAAACATTGCATAGGATTATGCCATAATACTACCACACCACTTCCATGACCATCTCGATCGACAGAAAAACAACAATCAAAACCCAAAATATATTGAAACTCTTCAATTTTTTAGCATTGCTTATTGTTTCACACAGAAATAATACACCCAGTTTACAACTTTAGATGAGGTATTTTAAATTAGGAACTGTACTCAGATGACACAGGCCCTGACAGTTCCAACTTATAACATTCATTTTTTCTGTCAGGTCTGATAATCAGGGTCCGCCAATATAATTTTGACATCAGAGGTAGAAATAGGTTGTGTGGCTATGTTATTTCTAACAACTACCTTTTTTTCTCCATTAGAATCAACGACCATAGTGTCTTCTTCAAAAAATTTCACCATTTCAAAGTCCACCTCAGCTGAAATTCTGTCTTCCAAACAAAGCTTTTTTCTTCATGATCTTACCCGAACTTATAGGTTCCTTTGATATTTATGTTTCCTTCTATGGTATCCTATTATTTTTTATCGGCATTTTGCAGTGAGCTTGAATTTTATTTTAAGCTTTATTAATAGGGATTTTGTTGTTGCTCATGCCTGGTGTTTTCATCCATTTTGCTAAGTTATCTGGTTCGATGACCTTTGAACTTTGCAGCCTTGTTATGATTTGAGAATTGTGATCATCATTTATGCTCATAGACAACTTTTGATTTTGTCCAATAGGAGATCCTTCAGTAGAAAATGCAGAAAAAACGAGTCCATTAATTTCTGCATTCTACATTTAAAAGCTTACAAAATAAATTTTATAAGAAAAAAGTTCTTA